CGTTCGTATCCCGACGTACCACGTACTTGCATATATTTACAATGTACAGGTAGTCCTCACTTTACGACCATTCGTTTAATGACGGTTCAAAGTCACAACGGCCTCAGAAAGGATGCTTTACAGCCCATAAAGCATTTCTGGCCATTGTAAAACGTCGCACCGCCGCCCCCTGTGGTCATGTGGCCGCATTTCAGGTGCTTGGCAACCAGCTTGCATTTACAACCGGTCGCCAAGTGCCCCGCGATCATATGATCGCCATTCTGGCTACCCAGAAAGTCAGTGCAGGGAAGGTTGCAAGCAGAGGGGACAGAGAGAAACCTCTTGGTGGTGTGCAGGAACAGAGCTCAAATCCTGAAGATCTGGGCTCTGTTCCTCCAGCCCCAAAAAGGATTTCCCCCCCATTCACGGAGGGGAGGGCAAACCCTTTGTGGGGCTGCAGGAACCTCTGAGAAAGGGCCAGCCACGCGGAGCAGAAATCCTTCAGCAGACAGCTCTTTCGCTCCGCCCACTTAACGACCTGGGAATCCCTTAACGACCGCAACTTGGAGTGCCTGGATTGCGGTCGTTGAGCGAAGCAGACACGTGGACATCTCGCCTAATGACCCCTTCACTCAACGATTAAGATCCCGGTCCCAATTCTGGTTGTTAGGCGAGACGCCCACATGACTGCTGTTTCTCTGCCATTTTTCTTCATCTACTGATCTTTCATTATGCAGGATAAGACAGTCTGTTCCTGACGAGGAGGCTTTGTTTTAGAGATCTATTTGAAGACAATAAATGACACGCACGAGAAAAAGCGTTAAGGGAGATGTCCTGCATTTAATTATTAATTATCCTAATATTCAGAGTCGCCGGGAGACAGGCAGCGTATAAATTTAATAAATAACAATAAGAATTTTAAAAATGTGTCCCTAGCTCCCCTGCAGTTTCTAGTATTAAACTGCGATAGGATTTGAGATGGTCTTTTGCCTCATTATGTTCCGTGTGTCTGTGGTTTTTACTTCCTGCCTTTAAGGTTTATTGGCTTAGGAGCTGATGGTTTGGTTTAGGCTGTTTTTGTTGGCCTTTTATAACCTGGGGCTTCCCCAGGAGAAGCAGAGGTGTGGGGATATACGTACTTAATAGGAATATTGCGGGTGCCTCACGGATCCTGATCCTTTGTCTCAGAGGCTTCCCACAAAATGCCCCTCCTCTCCGCTGAGATCCAGTTCGTAAGAGGTCCGCCAATAAGCTCCTTCCTGTGGGTCCCACCAAGAGCTGCCCGCTGGGGTCCTCCCCAGACGGCCATGCCAGGACCCACGGCCTCTCCCCCGCCACAGGATCCCTCGCCCGGCCCACGCCTTACCTTTCCAACTCCGTGCACCACAAATTGTCGTCTTTCCCGTTCATGCACACCGGCAGCGTCTTGGCCTTCCCTTGGCGGATGGAGTTGGACTTGGTGGTGATGGTCTGGACCTTTTTCATCTGCAGAAGAGAAGCAGAGAAGCACAGCCCTGTGAGGGCAGCCAGTTTCAGGGCGATGGTTGCCCGAAGACGTCGGCGTGGGTAGCATTCCTCGCAGGGAGCGCTCGCTGTCCGCTGACTTAAGCCGCCTGTCGATCGCCGGAAACGCATCCAGGCGTCGACGGAACGCCTGCCTTGGAAGGGCGGGCGGGTTCCCGGTGATGCTCATCCAGATGGGACGCTGAAAGCTAAAAATGCCCGGTCTGCGCCACCAACCTTCATGGAGATGGGCTGTTGACCAACCACCTCGGGCACAGGGGCTGAGGTCTGGGGAAGCTGTGGCCCCCAATCTATGAAAACCACAAGGTAGGGGAAGGCTGGGGCACAACCCCTCGCCCAGTATCCCTGCCCCCTAACCACAGATCCTCTGTGGGCATCTCTCCATCTTCGCATTTCTGAGGGAGGCCGGGGGACCGAGTGCCATCTCCTTTGGCCACAAGGGTGGCAGAGGGCAGCCAGGCTGGAGACCCAAGGGCTGGGCAGGAAGCGGGGCTCGGAGGGAAGGTGATGGAAGGGACAACGGAAAGCATCCCTGGCTGGCCACACCCCAAGTTTTCCATTAACTGCATCCTGATGAAGCTGTGTTGCCCGAGAAAGTGCTACTCTGCAGCCTTCTTTGTCCCAGACTAGAATAATTGGGAAAATTATTATTATTATTACCTTCGCCGTCCGGCTGTACTCCAGGCAATCCTGAAGTTCAAGCTTGTCTCCCTTGGATGCTACCAGGGGCCTGAAAAGAGGCAACCTTCATGGGCCCCGCTCTCCCACACCTTCCCACCATGCTTACTTTATAGGGTGCAGGAAACACCCCCCAGGAAAACAGACAAAAAGATACACACGCACACTGTCCAACATCACCCCTCCCTCCAAGAAAGCCTTGCAGGCATTTTTATGGGGGAAAAAACCCACTGAAAGTACTTTCTGCCTAATGTTTCATTTGGAAGCATTCCCATCCTGGTCAGAAAAATGACAAAGGAAGTTCCTTGGCCGCAGGGGATGCTAGAAAAGACATCAGGAACATCCTCTACTTCAGTCATGCCCAGCAAAGCAGCCATTTGGTGACGGGGCAAACTACCCCCTTTCCCACGATGGCAGCTCTTTCCCGAAAGTGCCCCCTGCTCGCCTCTCCAAATTCCAACCGTAACCCCCAACCTCCCAAATCTCCTGCAGATCACACTGGGCTGGCTCCAAATCGGGCAGTTTCTTCTCCCTGCAACTTCTCATGAGCTCTGGCAGGTCAAGGGCTCAGTTGCGCCAAGACTTCTTTTTCACCTGTTCATTCCTGGTAAGTTGCCCCAAAAATATCTGGCTCGGTGTGCAGCAGAAACCTTGACCGCATCGATCATAACTGGGTTGCACTGCAGAGAAAAGAGAAGGTGTTCAGCTGGGAAAATCCCCAAGGAAAGGCCGGGCATGATGGCCTAAAGGATCCTCCCAATTTAAGGAAGCTCGGAGGCTAGACAAGCTGCTGCTGAAGATGAGAGAGAAAAACATGCACCACCAGAAGGTGAATATAAAGGAGGTTAAAAACTCTGGAGAGGTGAGCTGGTGGCTCCCCAGATGTTCTTGGACCATGGCAGGTGGGCAGGCATGGGGGCAGAGGACAGTGCCCAGTGACCACACCAAAAGGGACATGGCTGAAATGGTGGTGTTTTTTAGTCTTGGGGGGTCTTAAGGGTGGGGATGAGTGCAGGAGGCCTTCCAGAAGCAGCTGCTTCCATTCCACCCTCAAAACCACCCCAAAACCTGAAAAAAGAGTCCAACTGTGCCCTTCACAGTTGCCAGTGAATTCCACTGATACCATCTGGAAGCACTGGGGGACCCCATCTGGGGTTGCCCGTTTGAGACTCCAACTTCCAGTCTTCTTGACCAGTGACCATGTTGGCCAAGAAGGATGGAAGGTAGAGTCCCACCACCTTTAAAGGGCAAAATACACTCTCCAACGTCCCTGCAACCATTACAATATTATTAACTATTAATATAATATTAAACTTCAATTGGTGAAATCCAACTTGGGTGCACAGACTAATTAATGTTCAGAATTGTAGCCAATCTGGAAGACAAATCTTGTTTTCAGCAACCGCCCCTAAGGATATCGGGTCTCGTGGCTTCTTCTGCCAGGGAACTCAGGTTCAGGGCAGCCCCTAAACCCCCATTTCTTGGGTCTCTTAGCCCTGTTGACCCAACTGCAGCTTTTACCTCCAGAAAACGGGAGATGTCCCTCTTGTCATTGACCCTCATGGAAACGACATTTTCGAAGAGCCAAAAGAAAGGCCGGTCTTCTCCAGCTTTGGGGCGAGTGTAATTCAGGAGGTGATAGAACTCAAAGAAAAGGCGGCCGGTCCCTTCTGCCAGCAGGAAGAGAGGACAGAGAGGGGGTCAAAGGGCGCTCAGCATCCCAAATCAGATCAAAGCCAACTCAAAACTGACCGCCCCTTCCCTTCAAGAGCTCGGCTTACCATACAAACCCTTCCTGGCAGGATTTACAATGGAGAGATCGTTGCATGGACTTCCACCAATCACCAGATCAAAGGGGCCCCATTCGTCAATCTGCAAGGGAGGTGGTAGTTAGGGCACCGTCTCTGTTCCATGCCCGCTTCATTCATGAAGTTACTTGGCAACATTCTGAGCATTCACCGGGGTTTACTGCTGTCCCTTCCCTACAGAGAGAGGCCTTCCGTCCACGCTCTCTCCCTCGGAGAGCCGCCTTCCCTTCTAGGTCAGCCGGCTTCCAGAAAGACCCAGGATCTGCTTTTTGCTGAGAGCGCCCCTCTGAGCAGCCATCAGTTGCTAAGAAGGAGCTGTCTGCTAATGGGGAGGGTCTAAATCCCCTAAACCAGCCCCAACCATCCAGCTGCCCCCAAAACACCTCCATCAAGGGGCCGCCCCATACTGTTCTAAGCAGGCAGCTCCACTGCTTGTCCAGTCTTGCTAGCAGAAAATTCGACCTCCTCCTAATTGAAATCCCTGGGCCCTTGTCCCACATTTGGCTTCCCCAAAGAGGTCCACTCCCTCTTGTATGTGGGAGCTGTTTAGACGTCCCCAGATTGCTACTGGATCGGCCCTCTTTTGCCCACTAAAGCATCATTTCCAGACAGGAAGCCAAGGCCACTGGACTAACCCTGCCAAACCATGGTCTTCCTCAGTCTCCTGCACATCCAGCTTGTCCTGGCCCACTCCTCCACTTCCCCCAATGGCCTCTCTGGATTCCCACCCCATCTCCCTTGACTGGCTTCCAGAAGCTTTGGCTCGGCACCTTAGGGAGACGAGAGCTTCTGTAGCTGCTCCTGCTGAAGGCCAGCTGGTCCCTCACACAGCTTCGGGGCTTCCCGAAGGCCTGGAGCCAGGACCCCACAAGAGACTCAGGCTGGCATTCCAGGGCAACCAACCCACAGCCCGGGCTGAGAAGTTTAATCCAGAACGTTGGACGCCCGGGTCACCACATCTCCTACCTGTCTCTTGGTTATGTTCCTAACGTCATGCACATATTTGATGTTTCCTTCATGCCGCACAGTCCCCACACTGATGGATTCTTCACAGATTTCAGAAGCGATGTATTTTTCCACTTTGATGCCAAGATCCCGCAGAACCAGGTAACCTATTAAGGCAGAAATGTCTCGGGTGAGAATAGGAAGGTTCTGCAAGGCCCCACCGAGGGGCACACAGCCCTGGAAAAGTCCACCTCACGCTGCGGGAAAAAGAACGTGCAACCCTCACACTCTCTGCCGAAAAGCGGAGAACCTGTAATATGGGTGCTCAAAGGATGCAGTACAAGGATTTTTCCAGGTCACAATTGTACATGCAAGTGCACACCCACCACACATGCACGTGCACGCACACACACAAGCCCCAGGATGGAATGATTGCCAACCAAATACTTATGAATGTAGTGGTTACAGGAAGGGAACTTCGCGGTTGATGAACGAATGGAGAAGGAACGATACCAAATGCACAGACTGGCCTTAAAGAAGAAAACAGGTTATCCAGAAGGCTGCCCAACTGTGTGGCAAGACTGAAGGATCGCCCCTGTGCAGAAGAGCTGCCCTTGGCAGAAATTACAGTTGGTCTTGCCATCCTCCTCACAGTGACCTGACATGGCAGGGCAGCGCTTTCCTCCAAGCCTTATAACTCCAGTTCTCTGAAGGCATCATTGCTAAGTTACGGCCAGTCTGCCATGCACCACCATCTGGAGGGTTAGAACTGAAAGAAGGACAAAGGCAGGACAATCCAGGGCTCAGATCTAAACCCCTTGGCTGTGCCGGCGTTTTGGGTCCAAAGGACTGGACGGCAGGGGGCCCAGGTCCACTGACACAGGCGCACCCGTTAAGCAAAGCAGCCAAGGGGAGGGTGGGCCAGGCAATGAATGGGAGCCAAGGTCCCACTTGCCACCCTATCGCCAAGGCTCTGAGGGGCCCACAGGATAACCAGCTAACAGTGCTCCTTCCAGGCACCAGTCGCAGTGACACATGTGGGCAGCGGGTCAGAGGGAAGACATGCGCAAAGGTGAGGGATCTCCTTCAGGTGGTGGGCCTTCACACTGAAGACTGACGGGCAACCAAGGGCCAAGGAGACTTCCGGCATGGCTCAGCTGGACTTGTGCCCAGGCTCTTCTTGCCCAGCCTCTCTTCCCCAGCCAGGGGCTGCTCCAGATGTCCTGGGAATTCCCCATCTGGGGAGCACCAGCCTGGCAAGGTTGATCTCTTTCTCCATGACCTTCCAACCTGTCTGGGCTTTAGTAAATTAGACCTGACCAAGCCGTTACCTGTAGCGATGCCATCAAAGAGAGACAACACTCTAATTGGCTTCCGTTTTGCTGCTGGGATGGCAGGGTAGATTTTTGGTACCTCCTGTGATGGGATGAGGCAAAAAAAAAAAAAGAGGATGTGTGAGACAGACACACCTGTTGGGTGTGTCACTTTGTCGCCACCATGGGAAGCCTTCTGCCACTCTCATAAGGTCACATGATAATCTAGGCAATTATTCATTTCACCGATGCTGCTCTGATTCATGGAAAAAATGATACGCCTTTCCAGAAGATCTTATTTTATTTTATTTTATGTTATTTTATGTTATTTTATGTTATTTTATGTTATTTATTTTAATTTTAGGCATTATTCCTGCTGGTCTCATGTCTTCCAGTTGGGCTGGTCAGGACAATAAAGAGCAACCAAGTCCAATGAAATAAATTTAATGACCCAGAAGTGGGGGTGACTGCCTAGACCTGTGTTTTTCAAACTTGGCCCCTTTAAGATGTGTGGACTTCAACTCCCAGAATCTAAATCATCCACAAGTAGGTTCCCAAACCACTCTGAACCTTTTACCCTTTAAAGTGCAGATAATCCTTTGGCAGCCGGGGGGCCCTTGGTAGAACCCAGCCCTACACCTCTTGGCAACCGCTCAACTCACGTCTGGGGCTCACAGCGGTCATAAGACTTCCTATCCCCAAGGAGCTGCGCTGGATACCAGCTTCTCCCCTGGCTGTTGAAAGGATGGTGTTGACTCTGAAAGCTCTAATCTGCATTTCCTCACCTACATGATGTTTGACTTTACTTTGAGGTTTGCTCAGCTGAGATTCTCCACCCAGTTTGCGAGACTGAGTCAGGATAGACATTTCACCAACCGATCTTTCAGTCAAATATTCCCTTCTAGAGAGGTGCAGAGCGTACCACTCCACATCAGTGACACCAGAATATTCCACCATTCTGCATCATGCCACTCTGGGTACTCCAGGAACCAAGCAGACCAACCCTGGCATGGGCGGATTAACACTTCCAGGGGAAGACAGAACGCCCTGGTGTTCTCTGGAACATCCAGTCCCCAGGAGAAGACATTTTGCACCTCGCCACTCTCCTGGCCTTATGCCTTAAAACTTTGCCAGAGTGGCTTTTCCGAGACTTTTCCCCTGGTGGGGAAAAACTTGCTCGGCTCCAGCACAACTTTTTAAAACTCCCTGGTGGTAGCACACGTTCCCTGGTGCTCTGCAGGACAGAGGCTGCTGGTTTCAGGGTCTGTCCTGCAAGGGCAAACTGGTGTGTTGCAACTGTAATTTTTCAAGTCAGTTATATTTATGGAATGTCAGTGGACCAGGGAGAGTGCAGCTGTCCTCTAATGGTATGGGTCAATTATGAGCAGCCCAGGGGTCTGAATCAAGAGATCCATCAAAAGTGGGGCCAGCAAGAGAGGAAAGCAGCTTATGAAAAGGAGGGGCAGACTCTGTTCTATGGCCAGAGAGGCAGCTAAGCTTATCTCCCACCCCCACCACAAGAAGGTCCTAAAGCAGTGTTGTCCAAACTTGGCCACTCTAAGATGAGTGGACT